GCTGTGCCAGGTGCAGAGGTGGTATTTACCATGCAGACACCTCTGTACCTGGATGGAAATAAATTGAGAATCTTCTGGGTCACTTTGAGTCCAGCAGCATAAAACATTTTGATAGGTTACTGATTCACACTGAAATCGGATGAACTCAGGGGGTGGTATTTGGGGGGAAATTTTTTTCAATAAATCATCCAGTTGGCTCAGTGACTGAAAAAATAGGGTGGGAAAACTTAACGCAAGTTTGTGACAAGGGAACAAACAGAAGAGATTAATGCCTTTCCTGATACGTTTCAAAAGGTGATCAAACCGTTCTTGATTGCAAAAGCAAATCAAGAAAGATGAGGCACATAGCTTTTCAGCTCTAAAAAGGATCACTGTTTTGTTTTCTGTTTTCTTCTGCCACCCTATGCCAAGTGGTTGGAGATATGGGAAACTAATTTCATTTCCAGCACTTTCTCTGGACCTGTCTCACGGTGCCCTGGTCTCCCCAGCTCCCACTCCACGGTTTATGCTGCTCATTTAAACCTACACGGATAGACAACAGCGTCAGGATCCAAATTCAACCTGTCATACCTGACTTTGATTTTGCAAAAATGGTATAAAAAACACGCTTCTGTCTTACTGGGGAACTAAGCCACTATCTTCTGTCCTGTTCCAAACAACCTGGCTTTTCTTTTACAAATCCTCCCCAGATCCCTGTGGAAAGGAGTAAAGGGGAGGCTGTGCTACATCAACCCTTCATTCCCCTGGGCCTCCCCTTCCTTAGGTTCTGTTTCCCCAAGTCTGCAGGTGTTTGTGCCTATGAGCCCCTGAAAACTAGGAGGGCTCCCAGAGAGCTGGGACCTGGGTTTTCCTCTAGGCCTCCTGCAGTGCCAGCGACACAGCCCAGCTGCTTTCAATGACAGAATCTTTATTCCTGGCCTTGAGTCCCAGCTGTGTTCTGGGTGGCACAACATTTGAGGCTTGCCAGGGGAAAAAAGGACATGACCAGAGGAGACGTGCGTCAGCCTGGAGTTCACTGTAAACTCCCTTTCCTTTCTGCTGCCAGGTGCTTCTGTGGGCACACACCATTAAAGCTGATTCCCAGAACCAACTCCTGCTCTTCCCTCTCCACTAGGCCCCGGCACACCTGAGCATCACTCTAAGAAGCTAGCCAAACCGCTAAGCTTTTTCACTTGGCAGGCACTGAGACTTGCATGGTGAACTCTGGGGACCAAAGGAAAAATGGATTCATGAGATCCCCTCCTACCTCTGCCTTTCCCACTTCATTGCACAGAGAGGCTCAACTCTCTGCCTGGGATCTAGCCCCCTCTCAGAGTCCAAACCCTCAGGAAACTGGTGGCTCTGAGCTTCCTTTCCTTTGGGGCCTAAGTATTTCCAGTATCCAGGGCCCAGCATCCAGAGGCCAGGATCCCAGACAAACGCTGGACAGACAAAGAAGATGCAAACAGGATGGTATTACCATGTTAATGGCCTGAGTTGAGGCCTCCTGAAGATGCTGGGAGGAGGGGGGTTCTTTCATTTACTTTTTCTTTCTTTCTTTTTCTTCTTCTTCTTTTTGCAAAAAGAGAATAGTTCCGCTTTCTATTTTACTACAACAATAGCATGGACCGGCTCCTTCAAGTGTTTCAAAAAGCAGCCTGAGAAATCTCTAACCAGCCCCTCAGTCTCTCCAGCCTGCCGCTTTATTGTCCTTCCCAGTGAACAAAGGGGAGGAAAGGGTAGAAGGCCCCCAGTTGCTGACTGTTCTCAGCATCCTAATCCTTGAGAACCGGTGAGGGAAATGGCCTGTGGAGCTGGTAAATCGAATTCTGCCCTCACCTTTTATTCCCTCCCTCTGCTTGGCACTCAGGAGTTCTTCAGGTATTACAAAATCTCCTGGCTAGCAGGCCAGTAGGCATCTTGGGGCTTGCTAAGGGATAAAAGGCACCGAGGGATCATTCCCTACCCCTACAGGTAGCCAGTGTGGTGGGCTTGTTTCCACCATCCAGGCGGCTCTATTGAAGACCGAATGTCAGCCACAGTGGCTGGCGGTCTCCCTTCTAGTTGGCAGCACAGGAGTTGCCCTGTCTGTCTCTAAGTCCCTGGACATAGGCTGCATATCCCACCCAGAGCTCCAGGTGCCAACCTCCACACCAACTCGGGGCTCACCTGCTGGTGCAACTCCTCATGGAAGGAAAGCTACTTGGCCTTGACTGATGGTAACTTTCCAAGTTTTCCACCCAGGGACCAAGGGTTTCTGTGCTTTAAACCTGGGGAATCGTGCAGGTGTCTTTTAGTTCAGTCATCTGGTAAGAAGGGGGAAAAATTAGCTTTGATGATGCAGTATGTGGCGATCTCAAGGGTACAACTGGGCTGAGCTAAGGGAATGATGAGTACATCCTTGCCTAGGAGGATCGGACAAAGCTGATATGACAAGGCTGTTGGAGATGCTGCAGGCTGGTTACAACAATCCATGTAAGAAAAACGTTTTATGCTGCGGCCCCCACAGAAACCCATAGTGTGCGCACATTCACAAACACACACTCACACAAGAAATATTTTATGAAATGATACAATATGTGTGATATAATCTGGTATTTTTTCTTCTCTCTTTCTTCTGTCTTCTCTCTCTCTCGGTTTTCAAATGCCGGTTGTGATTCATCAGTTTCACTTCATGACCCACCAATGGGTTGCGACAGTTTTCAAAGCCTTGAATCAAGGTTAATGTTTTCATTTTCCAGCTGACAAAATCAAGGCCCAGATATTTTCTCAAGATCATAACAAAGCTGAAAGCAAAATCCAAAGGTTCTTTCTAATAAAGGAGGGACCTGCATTTTCTGGGGACCCGCATTTTTTGTTTTCCCAAAGTCTTTGGGAGCACACAGCAAGAAGGCGGGGCATGTCAAGAGGTTTGTTTTCAGGGGCGTTGCTGGTAAAAGCAGAGGTGTTCCACCGCTTCTGGGAAACCTCAGAGAGGGATGTGTAGCTTGGGGGAGTGGGAGAGAGAAAACAACTTAGAAAGCACCCAGGTGAGGTTCTAAGGTCTCCCAACCAAGCATTTTACTTATTGGTTGTTGTTCTTGAATCATAAGACATTTTCCTGAATTTTTATCTTTCCTAGACACAGCTCCAGGTCAGCCTCCTTTAGCGATCCACTTTCTCCCCTGTTTTCCAACTTTTTGGAAAAGTCATTCCTTGCAGTTTTTTTTTTTAACCTCTACCAATTCATTGTATTTCCAGGCTCTACTTTGTCTAAATAACTTTCTCTTCCCTCTTAAAATCATGATCTTAGCAATGAGCATTAGAGAGGCAACTCAGTGACTCTTGTTCTCACAAATATTATCCCAAAAGTTATCCAAATTTGACCAGGCTTAGAAATGCTATTTAACAAAATGCCTAGTGATCAGGGTGCATGTATCACATCAAGGCTCTTCATACAGGTCATCTGAGCAGAACAAACTCTTTTCCTCCTGAAATTATCTTGTAGTCTTCCATAGAATTTCTTGAAATCTTCATCTAAATTTGCTACTTACTATACTTCTAATCTTTTAAGAAAGCCTCTAAAAATGAAGAGCTGAATGCCACCCTGTGTACTGGGTAAATAAAAGTCCAGCTTTCTGATTGCTTATTAGTTATACACCCTTAGAGAGTATGTAACAAAGAGGCCTGCTGTTTGCTTTGCTTAATCTGGTCTTAAAATCTCTGCTCTTTTGTCAGAAAACACTATTTGCAATTGTAAAAAAAAATATTTACCAAGGAACTTGGATAGCATAAGTCAAAGGCTAAGAGCCAAAGGTTGTAGTTCTCACCCCAAATTTCGTGGACCTGAGAGTCCCCGCTGTGGAGCTCAGCTGCACCAAACAAACATGCTGCTTTGTGAGTCCATTAAGAAGCAGACATTTTAGAAGGGGAAGGAAAGGGAAGGCTGCAGCCTGTTCCTTAGTTAGAAGCATGAACTCCCCAGCCTGCCCCACATAATCCTTGCTAGGTCTTTGTAATGCAATGTATCTCCATGGGGAAATTACAGGGACTGCCCTGTTTCACAAACCTGGGAAAAATACTTAACTTATAAATCCTTCAGGGCAGGCCTTCTCCCATGGACAGCAGTGACAATATGCTCCTCTGGGGTGAGGCCAGATATTCACTTAAGCATCTCTGTGGGTGGGGTCTCCTGCCCAACAGCGGGGGACAGATGTGTATCCTGAGCACTTCTGTGTGGATCCTTCCTCATCCGCAAAGCAGTTTTGGACATCTGATCTTGTGGGCTGACTCTTCTAACAGTGCTTGAATTTACCCCTTTATGTTAATTATTTTCTGGAAAGACCTGCATTCCGGTGCCTTTCCTAACCACTGGCGTATCTAGCATCTAGAAATGAACCGCCATTGTAGATCAGTGAGTTCTAGGACATGGCCTCAGGGTGCTCTACCCTAAGCAAGAACTCAGCTCCTTCTAAGTCCCAGGCTCATGTCACAAGGTGCAGGTCCTAAAGGTCTGGTCCCCAGCAGGAAGACCATGTCAGGACAGGACAGGAAAAGGAAACAGGATAACCAGAAGGAGTCAGGGAAGTATGGCTCATGGAGTCATGATATTGTGCCCCAGAGGCTGCCAACCCAGACGGTTCTTCAGCTTGTTAAGCAAGAGGGCTCTGGTGCAGCATTGGCTCCTCACCTCCCTGCTGGTGTCAGAATAATTGCCCACTTCATGCCATAGGATCTGCAAAGAGGAATGGGGTGGTAGCAACTCCGAGCTTTCTTGGTTTGATCCTCATGTTTTGATTGTCTCATTCTGTTAGGAAATTCTGTAGGTCTCCTTCAGCCCTACCTCAATCTTCTCTGTCAAATTCTTGCCACAACTGCTGATCTCTTGCTCTCATTAGGGTAAATATCACTGGCCAATGCATCTTGGCTTTTGATTCTGTCTAGAGCTAGCTTCTATCAGAACCATAGCAGTAATTACCACTAGCAATGGGCAGCACTGAGCATAATCAGCTGAAAGAAATGGCTTAATCCAAGGATCTTACCTTGAAGAACCAGGCCTTCCTCCTTGATGGTGTAGACAAATGAGGTGAAGGGAGCCAGAGGGGACTTGGCAATAAGAATCTGCACATAAAGCACATTTTTCTAGGATTAGTCAAAGGATCAGGGATGGGCCTCTATTCAGTCCCCTTCCCACTTTGAGACAAAGTGGTAACATAGGACTATAAGTCACAAGGCTTATTTTAAAAAAAAAAAATTTATAACCCAATGTTTAAATGAGTGCTACCCTTTCAAAGTGGTCACCTTAAAAGGCTATACACTTATCCCAACTATTCTACCATCAATTGCCATATTCCTGAATCAATTCTTCTGGAAATAAGTCTCATTATTTTATAACATCCCCTTCCCACTTTGAGACAAAGTGGTAACATAGGATTATAAGTAACAAGCCTTATTAAAAAAGAATTTTTATAACCCAATATTTAAATGAGTGTTATCCTTTCAAAGTGGTCACCTTAAAAGGCTGTACATTTATTCCAACTATTCTGCCATCAAAAGCCATATTCTTGAATCAATTCTTCTAGAAATAAGCCTCATTATTTTATAACACATGCTTAAATAGCTACCTTTCTGCCTAAAAATAAACCTAGCTTGATTCTTTAATTTTATTTATAAACTTAGCCGTTTTACTAAAAAAATTCAAAGGTACCTTTAAAAGATTTACTATCACTGCAAATATTCAAAATAACTTGTGAAAGGCAAAGCAATTGAAGGTTTCTTTGTTGGCTCTGGTCCTTCACCAAATCCTTTACTACGTGACTACATTTTCTCTTACTTAAGGTGTACAGCATTTCCCATGGCCCTTGATTGTGGGTTTGGGCATACGACTTGCCAGGTGGCATGACACAGGTTGTGCCAGTTCCCAGCCGAGGCCTCAAAAAGCCTCAAGTATTTCTAGTTGTTCTCTTAACATTTGTGCCATCGTCAGAGAAAAGTATGTCCATGCTAGTCTGTTATCTCAGAAGGAGGGCAATAGATATCTGAAACAGAGCTGGCCAGGAAGGCTAGGCTAAAGAGTTGACCCCCAGGAGACCTACAGATACACAAATTAAATATCTCTGCATGCCTTTGAGATTTTGGTGGTGGAGTCATGAAGCATTAGTACAGCAAGAGTTAACTGATATACCAGCCAAAATATCAAAACATGTTTTCAGCAATGGCATTTTCCTAAGACAACACTTATTTTAAAGGAGATGGTTATCTGGTCATTTAAAAGATCAGTATCGTTAAGCCATTATCACATCTCATATGGTTTACAGAACCTCTAATAATTGGTGGATTATTTTATTACAGTATTTCTACTGAAGGAAGATTAACATCAGTTTCCTGTTTTACAAATTAAAAAAAACATTATCAGAAACAGGGACAGTTTGAACCCTGAACTGTATAGGTAATCAGGGAGGCAAGAGAGAAAGAAGAAACTATTTCAAATAATCAAAAGGCTTATATATAATACCTTGGCCTATCTCAATTCAACAAATATTTGCTGTCAAGTATGAGAAGTGGTGGAAAAATGTGATGGAAAGATCACAGGTTTTAGTCATGGGCTTGGAATCTAGCTCTTCCACTCATCGGCTAGGAGCTTATGGCAGAGCCTACAATTTTCCTCTAGTAGCCATTCCCCCTCTTCCCTTTACTAAATAACTCCCCAAGTTTCCACATTTCTCTGCTTCTTTTGCAAGTAGGTGTGGCTATGTGACCAAGCCTTTACTAGCAGAATGTGAGTACAAATGACAGGTAGAACCTCTGGATTATGTTTTCATAAGAAAACTGCGTGCTCTTCACTTTCCCTTTCACCCTTCCCAAGGCAGGAACCAGATCCAAGCAAATGGGTGTGGACAACACTGTGGGGATGACAAGGCAGGATGAGAGAGGGAAGCTGGGTGGCTTCAGAGAGCATCAGTGTCTCCCACTTGGGGTCACCAGTCCTCTCAGGGCAGAGCAACTTGTCTCAACCACTGTATTTTTATCTTTGTTACTACAGTGCAGCCTGAACTCTAACCAAAACTGTGACTCTGGACAACCTAAATTTGTTAAGTCTCAGTTTCCTCACATGTAAAATGTTGATAAAAACACCTTCCCAAGTGGGATTGTTATGAGGATTAAATTAAGTATGCAAAATACCTGTCACTGTGTCAAACACAAAATAAATTCATAATAAATAATAGGAACATTTCCAACTAACCCATCACACATGGTTCCCTTAACCCTCACTCACCAAACAACAATATATCAGTTGGCTTCTACCAGAAGAAAGTCTCCAGTTGAATCGCAGTAATTTTTACAAATGTTCTAAAGTTATCTAGATAAACTAGTTAATCATTCTCAGAACCAATGAGAAGAAAGTAAAGGTGGGCATTTATACTTTCATGTCAAAAATATATCATTTGAAGATTAAGGGGGATCCCTTTCTGCCTGAGATAGTTTGGAGATGGTTCAATGTGAATTTATTTTATTTTTTATTTTTTTGAGACGGAGTCTAGCTCTGTTGCCTATACTGGAGTGCAGTGGCACAATCTCGGCTCACTGCAAGCTCTGCCTCCCGGGTTCATACCATTCTCCTGCCTCAGCCTCCTGAGTAGCTGGGACTACAGGCGCCCACCACCACACCCAGCTGATTTTTTTGTGTTTTTAGTGGAGACGGGGTTTCACCGTGTTAGCCAGGATGGTCTCGATCTCCTGACCTCGTGATCCACCTGCCTTGGCCTCCCAAAGTGCTGGGATTACAGGCGTGAGCCATCGCGCCCAGCCCGGTTCAATGTGAATTTTAAGGATACCCCTTAGAATGGGAATGGCATGGTAGAAGAAAAGATGGTGGTTCTCGATTTTAATGTGGGTTTGCATCACCTGTGGGTCCTGTTGACCTACACATTCTGATTCTGTACGTTTTGAGTGGAGCCTGAGAGAGTCTACATTTCTAACAAGCTCCCAAGAGATGCTGATGCTGTGGTTCACAGACCACATTTTGAGTAGCCAGGTTCTAGGCAATTAGCCTGATTGAAAAGTCTAAGATGGAGAAGCAAGAGATGGGAGATGTGGGGCCAGTTAGGAGGCGATGCCAATAATTCAGTGATGAGATGATAAGGGCCTAAACTATAGCTGTGTCAGAAAGAGTGGGAAAAAAGGAAATGGATAAGATAAATGTAAATCCTTTAGATCCAAACAGCAGTAAAAATAAACTAAACATATAAAAAATCTCAGATCTTTGTTGTCTGTATGTAGCAACTAGACATGAAACCAAAAGGGTGTAAATAGCAATAAATAAAGAATCATGCTATATTTAAAAAAATAATACCATTTTTATATTATGCACTGCAGAAGCTGAGACCCACAAAAAAAGAATGTAATATTCCAATGCGACACAAGAATGGCATCTAAGCCTAAGCCTTCCAACTCTGTGGTGCTAACTCCACCTTCTAATAGCCAGTCTATGAACAAGCCCTGAACCCCAGCCAAAAGGATCTCACACCTGGAGGGACCTCCCTGCCGGAAATCAAAGAGTTTGGACAGGTCACTGATTAACACACTGTCCTTCTGGAGCAGGATTTAAAATGAGTCATCAAAAGTATGATCTGTGTGCAGTTAGAAAAAGGAAGTGATAAGTTATGTCAGATGAATTCCATTTCCTTTCTTTGGAAAAGAACTTCCAGATTGATAGATCAGAGGGCTACCACCAACACAAAATATCTGATTTCAGCAAAAAATGTGACAAACTCTCTTGATAGCCTTCTGGATAAAGTGAAGATAAGTTGAGCTGGGTGCTAATACCATTAAGTGGACTTATGAGTGACCAAAAGGTCAGTAGTAACCTGGTGAGGGGCAGCAACCTCTAGTAGATTGTACTGAATTCTAGCTTGGTCTTACTGATTTGAATGATATTGCTGATGTATTCAAATACACCCATACAACAAATATGAAATCCAGCAGGGAATAGAACTTACAAAAACTGCTCCTCTAATAGAGCTTACATTCTAAAGAAAGATAAGAAGTACAAAATAAATAAATAAAAATGTTATGTTTGATGAGTATCCATGCAATGGATGAAAAGAGCAGATAAAGAATATAGGAAGTATATTGGATTGGAGGTGGGGGCATCAATTTTGGATAGAGTATCATGAGATCTCACTGAAGAAGTGATATTTGGACTTGTGAATCATGTAACTAAACCCACTGATAAGATGCTGAACTGATGGGAAGGTAACAGAAGATTTAGAGAAATATTAAGAGAAAGAGTTCATATATTAGATTAGATAATCATGATATCAAAACAAATCTCAATTTGGTTAGAATGTTGGAACAAATCCTACACATTGATTGGAATGCAATTTTATTGAACTAAATGAAAGGCCTTGTCCTTGAGAACAGAGCACCAATGATTCATTATGGAACAGGCAAAAGGAAATTCAGCATCCAGAAAATGGAATGTTGGTTAACTATAGTTCAATATTAGTCAGCTGTGAGATGTAATTCTCAAAAATCTAGCATGTTCTCAGGTTACATCAATGGAGATATAGTATGTAGAACAAGGGAGGTGATAGTCCTGCTCTCCTCCTCACCCAGCAAACCATGCCTGATGCAATGTGTTTGGATTGGGGCCCAAATTCCGAAAGAAAAAATGACAAACAAGAAGGTGGCTGGAGGTCCAAAGCAATCCATGACCACAAACACGTCAATGCAAACATCATGGTAAGAGGACTGGAGTGAAGATGCATATTGCTTTTACTACGAGTTTTCTAACCTGAAGATTCTGTAATATTATATGCTAGTATTATATACTAGTATATACTATGAGATGCATATTGCTTTTGAGTTTTCTAACCTGAAGATTCTGTTGTATTATATACTAGTGAGGGGAAGTGTAAATTAGCTTTCTAGCCCAATATATTTCAGGAAAAAAAGTGATGCTTGCCATGTATCTTTGTGGATACATACAGATTCCTCCCTATTTTTGATCCAAATTAATGCCCCATGACCCTTCTGCCATTCAAACTATAAACTATCCTCTTCTAAAGCAGACAACCCCCAGCAGATAATTTAGGTTGTGCTGGTTCAGATGTTCAGCC